CGCACCAACGCCCGAGGATCCCGCTTGGTGCGCCGCGCCGTCTGTCGACGATGGAGCCACCGCGACTGTTGGCGCCGACGCCGCTGCAGCGGTAGCAGGCGCACCCGCAGTCAGTCGCAGAAGCTCAGCCGCGGCCGCCGGGTTTGCCGCGGCGACCGCGGCGACCGCAGACGCGAGGCCGGACGGACCTGCTGCGGCGGAGGCGGTGGTTACCGGTGCTGCCGCCGCTGCCGCCGACACGGGCGCAAACAGCCCGCGCTGGCGGCGCTCCTCCGGAATCTCGATCTCCGCGAGGTATCGCGGGATGCGGGATGCCATGAAGACCGCCTCATCGGAGCCTGCGGCCCGCGCCGTCGGCACCGCCGCCAGTCGACCGAAACGCCTCAGCCGCCGCGGCCACCGCGTGCAGGTGCTGCAGGTGGCTGACCAGCACCTGTTCTTCCTCCGCTTCCGGCTGTCCCGCCGCCTCAGCCACGGCCCCGACGTTCCAAGCTGCCGCGCGCATCGTGGCATACTCGGTTCGAATAAAGTCAAAGACCTCGCGGATGCTCAGGACGGGCGGGGGCGGCGGATCTTTCTTCTTTGGGCTTTTGCCGTCTGCGTCCGCCTCCTTCGCCTCGCCCTCGTTCTCGTCATCGTCGTCATCCTGCGCTGCATAGTCGACGCGCCGGCGGAAAAAGTCGACAATGTTGGAGCAGTCCTTTTTCAGGAACTCGAGAGCGTGCGGGTGGTCGTGCTCGACTGACTGCGATACGTCGATAATGTATAGTGTCTTTTTGTGGTACCTTTTGCAACGGTAAGAAGCATTAAACGTGGAATGAAGACGCCATCGGAAGCAGAGAATCTGCCTACAGTAAGTTGTACTCGCTGAGATCGGCGTGCACAAGCTTGCAACGATGATACATTCGCCAGACCATTTTGAGGAGGTCGTTATAAATCACGCGGTACGTTTTTGGATCGCTGATGTGAGCGTCTTTCAGCCGTGGAGCTGGCCTTTGAGGAAACGGCACCCAATTCAGTACACCGAGTACACCACAATGGAAGTCACCTACCATCCATCACTGGACCCCAGGAACCCCATCACAAGGACATGCATTCGAAGAAGGATCGGCTCCGGACAAGGAATCCCGACCGTATGCAGTCGCTTCAAGTTTCGCATTTCCTTTTCTGCCCACACTTTGACCATCTTTCTCGGGTTCGACTTGTTGTAGCCGTGTCGGAATCGGTACTCTCCAGTGACGTATCGATCTCTGTCTTTGAATGTGAGGATTGAAGTTTTGTACACCTTAATGGCAAGATGAGAGCCTCCCGCCGTTATTGCGTGATATACATTGGCCTGGGCGCGACAGTCAGCGGTTACTGCATACTATGGAAATTGAAATTGAAACGCACCTCTTTCCCAGTGCTTATGCAGCCGTTCACTTCATAGAAAACGTTTTGATTGAGCATCTTGAAAAGGATGATTCGGGTTCTTGGGTCCAACACCTGCTCCACGGTTGCTCGATCCGACTTGTCTTTCCGCGTGTGCCTTACGCGCGCGACGAAAAACGATAAGAGAGAGATCGATACGGTTGGGTGGAAGTGCTCAAACCTGTCTCCTTCGGCTTTCCTCGAGCTGTACTTGATGTCGTTCTGCACCGAGGTCGAGACGCGACTTCCATAGTCTTCGTCTGGATGCGAAGATGACCAGGGTAAGCATCTAACGACGAGGATCCATCATAGAAACGGCGATCCAGTGCTCACCCAGCTTCAACCGCGATCCAAACTTTGCCCCGAGGGCCTCGACAAGCGCGGCGTCCGGGATCTTTCGCTTCTGCTTCGCCGCAGCGCTCCCCGCCGCCGATTCGCCTGCCGCTGTGCCTGCCGAAGGACCAAACTTGCCTCGAATCGTCGGCCGCGGCCCCTCGGCAGTGCTGGCAGCCTGGTTGCGGACCTTGTTGAACTGTTTGGTAAAGTCTGCAGAGAGTCAGGGATGCGCGATTGAGAGCTGCCATGACCACTGGAAAATGCCAAGATCCCGCGGGCGACGGAAGCGTAGCAGACGTGAAAAGGAGCTCACCGCCAGTAGCGTTGAACCATTCATCCTTGTAGTGCAGATCGATCTCGCCGTCCTCGTCGTCGTCGTCATCATCGTCGACTTCATCTGCATACGCGTCGCCCTCGTCGTCGCCCGTCCGATCATCCTCGTCGTTAAAGTCGTCGTCCATGTCTCTCCCAAAGCCCTCCTCCTCGTCCGCGTCCTCTCCGCCCCCATCCGTCGTCGTGTCGCCGGGCGACGGCGGGTTCGACGCCTCGTTGGCCGAATCGGAGGCGGTCGACGACGTGCGGAGGTGCCGGGCTGCAGCGGAGACCGTGATGCCTGGCGGCAGCGGGGGCGGGAAGGTGCGCGGTGTCCGCGCGGTGGTCGCTGACGACGAGGATGCCGGCGGCTGCGGGCGGGTTGGTCGGGTCGGGGTGGTGGTCGATGGTGAGGACGGTGGGGCGGCGGATGTGCTCCTGGAGGAGGAGGAGGGCGCGGCGGACATGGATGATGCGGTGGGGGTGGCGGCAGCTGGGTCGGCGGAGGTTACCTCATCGTCGACCTCGCCCTCCTCTGCATCAGAGAACTGATGTTCGATGGACTGCAGGGTCGCGTCGGTGGATCGCGGATGCGCGCGACGCTTGCTCTTCTTCTGCTGCGGGGTCGGCATCGGCAAAACGGCAGTGGGTGGAGGTAGGTTGTCGTTAAATGTGGCCGGCGGCTGGCTTGCTTGGTCCGGCCCGAGTGATTGAAAAAAAAAGAAAGCAAGAAAAGACGGTTGCCACCGGGCTCCAATTATATTGCCAGTTCTCGTCGGGGCCACGACCAAACCTCGCGCATAGGCCCGGTATGACTGCACTTAAAAGCTAGATAACACTGAGGCGGGATGCCAAGGAGCAGGTAGACCAGGGTGTCGAGATTGCCAAAAAGTGAAGGGCTCCCAACCCAAGCGAACACAACGAAAAACGCAATGGCTAATGGAACAGCCGCTCGAGCTAGCTTCCAACCATCTTGACGATTTACGGCCTCAAGAGCTGCGCAAAAAGCACAAACACGACTATCCACAATATCATGCTACCAGTCCCGGCGATTATTGCAAGCGTCCGCGCAATAAACGCATTGTGCACCTGGCTAGCGCGATATTCGCTTCGCCGGCGACTTGCGCTCCGCGACATACCTTGTTCGTCGTCAGCGCGTGGCTGGGACGAAGGACTCGGGGGTTGGTTCACCTTTTTGTGTCATCATTAAACATTAAGGCCTGCCATAATAAGAGCAAACAAGGATGTGCACCTTGGCTGCATAATATACTGCCGTTAATCCGACCGGCAGCGTGCACTTTGGAAAAGACCAGTTAGCGCCACGTCGCTCAGCGGAAGAGTACGAGCCTTACCAAACAAAAGAGTGAAAGGATTGACACGATGATGGATTCTCCCAAATAGCTGTACACTCTTGGTCGCCCATCGTCGTAATCCACGTGTCCAGCTGCTGAAGAAGCTGAGGCAGCGCTATGCGTCGTAATGGCGTCCTCCTCGGTCAAGACATCGTCGCGCAACAAGGGCACCCGCGCGCTCGGGTCGTCGCCCCTACGAGATCTCAGGAAAATCGACAGAAACCGCCCATAGATGGAGGTCTCCTTCGCTCCCGCGCCCGCGGCCGGAGCAGGATTCGCAGTTCCAGGCGTGACGGTCGGCGATGCGCCCTCGCTGCTCGCATCAGACGCCGAATACATGTCCTGGTGGATCGGGGTTGGGGGCAGTCCGCCCTCAAAGTCTGCGGGTGGCTGACGCACTGACGCGGGAGGAGCCGCAGGGGTGTTGAACATGGAGGAGGACGATCCGCCGCCGGCGAGCAGACTGGATGCGGACGGGAGCGGGGTCCCCGCGGTCGAGGCCGTCGTCGATTGCCCTCCGCCGCCTCCTGTTGCCGCCGCTGCTGCGCCGGGCGCGACCGTCGGGGAGAAGAGGAAGGGCTTGTGGAGCGTGTGCTTGGAGAATGGCGAAGAGTGGAGATGCGAGGCGCCGCCGCCGCCGCCGCCCATGGCCGACGCCGGCGGGTCCGGCCGGCGCCACGGGTCGGCCTCCAGGTCGTCGTCGTCGTGGATGAGTTGCAGCAGGGACCCACCGCGCGGGATCTGGACGCTGCCGCCGCCGCCGACTCCGCCGACGCCGGCTCCGCCGCCGCCGGCAGACGCGAGGTTGTGCGGCACCACGGGGGGTGGCCCGGACATGTCGTGGTGTCGTCCTTCACAGAGTTGACTTTAAAAGAGATCGGCGGTTCGGTTCTTCAACCACGCAGTCAGCACCACCGACACCACATCACTTCACCAAAGTACAAAGAAAAAAACTGGAAGGTCGTAAGTGGAAGAGGGAGCTCACGTTGCTTGATTACCCATCTGCTTTCCTTGGACTCAGATAAAAAAAAAAAATAGAGCTGCTTCCTCAGAGAACGACCAGCGGAAAGCACTACCCGCAAAGGATTGGTGGCGTCTTTAACCGGTTAAGACTCACCTGCCACGCCATGTCTAATGTATAGATGGCTCTCTGTTGGCTATATGACCAATGTCGCAGAATCGTTGCATATAAACAGTTTGGTGACCATGAATGTAAAAACATCCCCATGGAATTCCTTGATCCGTCACAGATATCTGTTGACTTCACAAAGATACTTTCAACGCACCGCAGTGTTGGCTCAGCGCAACTTGCATCATGATGGTCACGAGAATCTTGGCAAGAGTGTTGCACCCTCCGGAAAAATTGAAATACTCAGTTCCGGTGCAGCCACATGTTCAAAAAAATCAGCACCACCCCACGACATCTTCGCCGTTCGGTTCAATAGCACCGAACGAAGGCAGGTCCACGTGTTTGACGATTTTCGAGGCACTGGACGACGAGCTTTCGCTCTTTGGGCAAAGTCCTGGGCAAAGTCATTTTGATTACTGAAGTAAACGATAAATATTTAAAAAAAAAGGTTCATATTGTATGCCCCCGTTGTCCAATGGCTAGGACACCGCCAACAAACCTAACAACAAACTACCGACCGGCGGAGATCGGCGTTCAAATCGTCGTGGGGGCGGTATCGTCTTTTTTTCTTAGATTGGGAAGCCGGTTTGGTAAGCTTATTGAAGTTGGAGGAACAACCCCGCAGTTGTTGCCCAGTTCGCCTCCTTTTCGATAATCGGAGTACAGATTTTTATTTACATTTGCGGAAACTGGGGCTGCGATGCCGTCGTGCCGTCGGTCCAAGACGCGGACGGAGTAAGCCGCTTTGACCCTCCGCCAGGCGTTCCTCGGCGCGACCCTCCCTGACGCTCCATCACGCGATAGCCAGCCCGACTCGCCGCCTGCTCCGCTCCGCCAACTCTCTGTGCGGCGCCAGACGCCTCCATCGCCACACACAAAGCTTCGATCTCCGCGTCCACGTCGCCCAAATCCCCCGTGCTCCGGGCGTCCTGGTCGTCGATCGTGATCGACAGCGACGCCTGCGACCCGCTGCTCAACCCGGCATTCGTCTCGCTGCGCAGAAGCGACGCCGGCCTCGGCCGCGCGAGCGCCGAGGCGGCAGAGTCCCGATGCGACTCGGGCCGTGCTGCCCCATTGCTGCTACTGCTGCTGCTGCTGCTGCTTGTAGACAGCGTCGACGACTGGTGGTACAGCCCAAAGCTGCGGAAGAGCGGCCCGCCCAGCCCCAAGCTCTCCAACAGCTCCTCGGCATCCACCACCGCCGCCGCGCCGACGACGTCGCCGTCGCTCTCGTCCACCGTCTCGTCGTAGTACGAGCTGCTACCGCTCGTAAATCGATCCCCGGCCGTCTCCGTCTCTGACGAAGACGACAGCGGATCCCCTTCTGACCCGCTGCCCCCGCCGCCAAGCGAGTCAAGTGTGAAGAACGACCCGCCTTGCGTCGTGTCGCTGCCGCGCCGCAGCAGCATCCCGGCGACTCCACCACCGCCACCCAGGGCACCCCCCACCCCCGTCGTCCCGCTGCCGCCGCCCGCCGCGGCCACGCTGGTCGCGAGCACGTGCCCCACCGGCGTGTCCAGCAGCTCCAGGATCCGGCGCACCGACTCGGTCGCCCCCGCCGCGTCCGCGTCCGTCGACACGCCGAGGAGCCCCGTCAGCAGCCCGACGAACCCGCCGGCAGCGCCAGCGGCAGAGCCCTCGCCGCGCCGCTGGCGGCGCGAGAGTGCGGCGACGGTCGAGGGGCTAATGCTGTGGAAGCCGTTCTGCTGGATGACGCCGACCGAGGACGGGTGCGCGCAGGAGAGGCGGTGGAGGCAGTCGGAGCACGTCACGGCGTGGGTGAACTGGGCGATGTAGCTGCATTTGGCGAGCGTGAGGCGGAGGTCGGTGAGGACCTTGTTGTTTTTTGGGTTGGGGGTGGGTAGGGTAGGGAGATTAGGTGAACTAATGCAAGAAAAATCTCCCCTCTGGAACTTTACGATTCGGTAGTTTGTTTGCGCGGCCGAGGTCTTGTACATTAGCGCGAGGGCCTTGACCATGTCGCTGGGCTCGATGTGGTCGTTTTCGCCGCGCCGCTTGCCGTCCATCAGCTCGCGGATAAAGACTTCGGAGAACTCGCCGAAAAACTGAGGCGGTGGTTTCGGTTGGGGGAGTTTTGTTTAGATGTGCGAAAAGGGAGAATTCTCGTTCTGCGCGAGTCATTTTTTTTCCCCATCGTTTAAATACCTCGTCCGGCCACTCTAGCACGCTGTCTGTTCAAGGCGAAAAAATGGTCATGAGTTGAGAGAATCAGCTCTCCCCCACTCGAGAGTTGACGCACACGCGAATGAAAACCCGCCAGGAGCAATTACCCAAGCATGAGATGAGCTCCGTGATGCGATCAATGTCCCACCCGAGGGTCAACGACCTGATGAACAAAGCTACGACGCCGACCGACTCTCCAACCATCATGAAGCCGACGACCAATCCCATTTTCGGTCGTGTCGACCTAGAGTCCAGGAAGATGAACATTTTTTGGGCCAATTAAATTATTTCGAAGCAAAGAGCTAAAATGTTGGCTCCCAATTTTACCATGACGCACCGACTTTTGCAATGACAAAGGCTGCGAGCTCGGGAAGCCAGTCCTCAAAGACGTGCTTGAGAAGCCGCGCGGTGCATTCGGTCGACCAGCCTTCCACGAGCCATTTGATGCCGTGAACGACTTGTTCAAGCTTGTATTCCTTTGTTTCAAGTGTTGTTTTTGTGTAGCGGATGGAACGTTTAACAAGCATGTTTTGGCTCCCTCCAGGTCTGTCAAAGAAACCTTGACGAGCCCCGCCAAATGCCTCCCGGTGAAGTCGCAGTTCTTCTCGTTCCGCACAAATTCGACAAACGATGCGTTGAACATCTTGTCCATCATCTGCAGGCTCCACTCACAGTCGATGTGCCGGTACGCCGCGACCCAGTCGTTCTTCTTTGCCCGCTTTGGCCGCACCGCGACTCCAGATCCTTCCGCGCTGCCCTCGCTGCTGCTGCTGCTGCTGTCGCTGCTACTGCCGCCGCTGCTGCTGCTGCTGCCGCCGCTACCGCTGCTGTCGCTGCCAGTCGGCACCGTGGTTCGGCTCTGACGACTGTCAGACCGTGCTCTTTCGGTCCCGTCGGTGGACGTCGGAGCCACGGGCGGGCTGCCGGTCGGCGCGACGGACGCGGACGGCCCTGGCGGTGCGGGGGCTGGAGCCGGTCGCGCCATGGCTGCAAGGGCGAGCGTCGCAGCGGACGAAAGCAAGGGGGTATCCTCTGTCTGTGGAAGGTAGCATTTGAAGACGCGGAACGGGATGACCGACTCCGAGAGCAGGAGCGAGCATGACCGAATGATGACGGCGCGCGAGCTCGGGGAGAGTCTGCCGCCTCGCATTTGTGCGGGCTGGCTGCGGTCGAATGGGGGTGGGGTGGGAGCACAACTGCTTATTCTCCTCAATTGGTTTGTGGGGTATGTTTCCCGAGTTCGGCCCGTCTAAATTTAGAATTTCAACGGCATTTTTTTTTGGTTTTGTTGATTTGTACGGGGAACTGCCCTGCCGTTCTAGAAACCTCCTCTTTCAATGCGATCGATGTGATTTTTTTTTTTTTTTCCCCCTTCAGGCCTTTGTAGTTGTTGGTCGGCTCATATGCTTACCGTGAATCGAGAGTATAGCTGCAGGCATGTTAGCTTCGGCTGCTGCTGCTGCTTGTGCAACTACTGTAAACTTCGTTCCACCCAATTGCATCTGAATTGCATCTCGCATGGGGTGGTGGGTGTGCGCGCGTGGGTCCAACGCGCACGCAGGATTGGCCCGAGGAAAGCCCTTGAATCGCATATGCATGAATGCACAGCTGACGGAGACAGAAGCAAGAGAAAGAAGATGAGAAAGAAAGGAAAAGAAGCAGAAAAAGCAAGTAAAGACACACGTCTGTCTCTGTGTCTGTCCCGGTCCCAATCAGCCAGATGGTCCGGATCGTCGTCGTCGTCCCGACAGTCCACTCCAGCTCGCCTCCGCCGACGCCGGCGCCCATCCGCAACAACGGCGATCAAGCCGGAGGACGAGGACGAAGACGAGGAGGAGGAGCAGGACCTGGAGGATGCCAAGAACACTGCGACGGCGGCGGCCGCGGCATCTCCTTTTTCGGCACTGGATGCGAAACAGGCTGCAGACAGTCACGGCCGGTGTTGTGAGCACCGGCAAGCCCCAGCCCGGTCGGCCCTCATGCGATTGCCGTCGTCTCACGTTCGCAGCGAACGACTGCGCATGCTCGCTCAGCCAGCTTTTTTTGCCCCCGCCACCGCCGCCGTTCGGGAACGCATGTCCTTGGCGTGCGCATGGGCGACCCGCCTTCGCTTGGGTGTTCTTGTCGCGCTACTGCCTTGCGCGATGGCGCATGCAAAGGTTGTCGAGTACAACTGGACCATATCGCAGACCATGCAGAGCCTGGATGGCGTCCCCCGCATGGCCTACGCGATAAACGGCAGACCAGGACATGAGGTGGGCCTTTCGCGACCTGCGCCGACTTTTCTTCTTTTGCTTTTCGCTGGCTTCAAACGAACAATTTTTTATGTCTTGGATCGCTAACATCTCACATAACCGGTTACGTTACAAAGACATCCGTGGTCGTCCAGTCTGGCGATAATGTCGTTGTGAACGTACAGAATGCACTCGATCACCCAACGGCTTTGCATTGGTGAGTGCAAAGATGACTTCAGCATTTTGGCGCCTTGTTTTGACGATCATGATTGGTGGGTGCCATTGTGACGATTCAGGCACGGTCTCCACCAGAACGGAACGAACGAGATGGATGGTGCAGGTAACCTCTTTGCGCCACCACTATCACCAAATCTGAAGCGCACTCCCTAGTCGGTTCCACACAGTGTCCGATCCCGCCGGGTCACTCTTTCACCTACCGCTTTTCCACCGCAAACCACTCTGGAACTTACTGGTTCCACGCGCATCATCAAACGCAGTACGCAGACGGTCTCCGCGGACCCGTCATCATCCTGGACGACCCGTCCGTCGCTGCTGTCCACCCCCCTTACGATTCAGACACCACATTCGAGCTCTCCGACTGGTACCACACCCCGACCGACATTCTCACGTCCACGTTCTACCTCAACGGCACCGCGAACCCGACCGGGATGGAGCCCATGTTCGACTCTGGTCTCATCAACGGCCGCGGCGTGTACGACTGCGCAAAGGTCTCGAAATTGTGCATCCAGCAGGAGCCAGCCGTCTACCAGTTCGACGCAGGAAAGACGCACCGCCTTCGGCTTGTCAACACGGCAGCTTACGCTGGCTTTCGGTTCAGCGTTGACGCGCATCGCTTGAAGGTCATTGAGGTCGACGGCTTTGCCGTCGAGCCGTATACCGTGGATGCCGTTGAGCTCAACGTGGCGCAGAGATTCTCGTGAGCACGCTTGCCTTGTTTCGCTCTCTGTTTACGTTATTTGACATTTACCCGCAGTGTCCTCGTCACTGCGGACCAACCTCCGTCGAGCTACTGGATTCGAGCAGTCATGTTTCACGGCCCTGCGTGGACCGTAATGAGCCCTTCGGCAGGTTTCAACGACACCGTGCTTGCTCATTTCAAATACGCTGGCTCGCC